CTGTAGTGTTCATGACCATGTAGTAGAGAGACTACAAAAAAAGCAGGAAGTTTATGCGGTTGAAATTGGGTGTCTCTGGAGGAAAGCTAGTGGAGCATCTCTAGTTCGCTGCGGACGGTTGGGCGTGTCAGGCAGTATGAGTGTGTCACCCCGTCAAAGCCGTTCTCTGCCTTCTTGTTGAAGCGACAAAAAGTGGTAGAAAACGAGTAATACGAACGATATGATACAGTCATATCACTTCAACAACTGGTGGAGAACGAGTTTGGCACCGCGCCAAACGCAGCCGCACTGACACGCCCAACCGTCCGCAGCGAACTACCCTGTACTAACCGGTCAACCTACTACGCAGCCGCATTTCCGCGTTGGATGAGTTGGGTCCTCGGGAAGATGTCCTTCGGCGCGTTTTGGATGTGCTAAGTACATTCCAGCAACTCTATGTCTTTTTCCTTTTCTAAGACTTGGACTTAGCAGATGGCAGACGATCAGAGCCGCTTTTAGATCTTGCAGAGCAGACATAGACGCGCTCATTCCCACCCCACCACCTCATTAATTGCATAACTTCTGAATGATTGATGGAAGCAAAGCCTATGAGTGCTCACTTCCGAGATGTCCGAAAACCTCTCAGTTCATGCTCTCACAACAAAACCAAATCATGTTGCCTTTTGTTATCGATCTTGAAGTTGAATTTTTTCTGATCATATCACACACTCAGCGTCAGTTACCCTGCATCTAAAAATGACCGCATTTCAAGTGCTTTCTGTTTTGAATAACATCTGTCTTCAACATCTTGTTCATGCAGACCGTAGAGTACAAAAGTAAAGAACAAACGTTCAGCGCAATACAGCAATGGGGGGGGGGGGGACATTTCCCGACTTTTGCTACTTCCCACCGAGGTGTTAAACCATCTAGTGCAGACTTGTAGAATCTTGTGAAGCTATGAAAGGATACAAGTCAAAGTTAGAGGAAACCTGTAAACTCTTGTTCTGTGAAAATGGAGAGCACAAATACCCTTTACCGTGATGGCTCGACCAACTAGGTCCAGCTTCACAAGAGTTCACAGGTTTCACCAGAGTGAGACTACTAAACCGGAACTAATGAAGCAGCGAAAGTGTAAAAGTCCCCACTCGTTGCCGAACAGCGCCCAAGTGTTCCAGTCCTGTTGAACTACGCTCAGACTTTCGATTCGGATAGCTCGATTGAGTCACGCCAAGCGGTTGATCGCCGCAACGGCAGTATTCAACTTGGGCCCGTTCACACAGTGCGAATTTGTGCTGTGGCGGCAGTGCACCGTTTGGCGGTAGAGCGCTCGTGGTGGCACGATCTAATGGGGTGATCCGGTCGTGCTATTCAATCGCTCGAGCGATCCCATCGCGAAGTCTGAACGCGGTCGTACTGCTTCTTGGAATTTATTTATCGCGATATGACAAGAAGAACCTCAGATACTCTTCACTCACTTTGCTGGGATACTTGAATATGACAACGATTTACTGGGAGCTCGAAGTTCACAGCTTACCGTTGAGAATGACAAGGCGGATTTTCAGCGTGTTCTGACGCAGTTCACTGCAGTCAAGCGCCTAATCCCTCATCATTTCGTTGAGAGAAGGATGAGCTACGTTCTTTGTCCAGTCACGGGTTACATTTGCATCATAAGTGATTTGTGTCGTTGAGTTGTGAACGATTTCTGGTGCAGTTCGTCGACGGGGGGGGGGCATTTTGCACTTTGCTACTTCCCATCGACGTGTCGATCCATCTAGAGAGCCACTTCGTGAGCTTACAAGAGTTGACAGGTTTTACCATGGTGGCTCGACGACTTTGCTCGAGATTTAGAACCGTTCACAGATTTCACCAGATATATGCAAACCGGAAATAGTGGAGCTGCGAAAGTGCAAGATGCCTTCCTCTCCGTCGCCGAACTGCTCCCCATTTCCTACTAGGCTGCGTTTATACTTTGCGGCAGCGTAGCGCTTCCAGCGTACGCCAGCGGCAGTGCCGGGGAGAGGATGCATATCGATCTAGCGTTCCCAGCGTCACCAGCGCACGCTGACGTACGCTAGCGGCACGCTAGCGCACGCTGGCGTAGCGAGGGCACGGGAAGCATAGCTATCGATCTAGCTTCACCAGCGTTTCTCCAGCGTTTTCCCAGCGCTTGCAGCGACGGGGCTAGAGAGGGGCTAGAGAGTATTGAAGGTAGGAGAGTATTTTGTACTCTCCTACTCTGTGGTTGCGTCACGAGCAGGGCACTTCTTCATGACAAGGACCAGCTTTTCGAATACAGGTTTTGCTCCTCTACTACCCCAACTCCCAATTTTGCGTTCAACTGAAGTAAATAGCGAAGCGCGCTAGATAAGCGTACCCACTTCTTACAGCACAAACCAGTAGGAAAGAATAAAAGATAAAGTCTATGCCGTTGGTCAATCTCTTTGTGGAAAGCGGCACGCACTCTACCTCTATTCAGAATCGAGTGGCTTACTGAATATGATGTGCCCTATGTATGAGTTATGGGGGTCAGCTGATGTACAAGTCAGTGAACCTATCCTCCCAGACGAGCCCGGTGCCAGTTTACTGTCCCGGAGGGTAAAGAGGTTGGTTTGCCTAGGTAGGAGTCGACCCGGACCGCGCGAGTGGTAAGCGCGCCACTTGTCACCACACCACCTCTATCTCAAATATATTTATGATAAATACGATAAAATCAGCAAAACGAGCGGAAAGCGAGCGCCTGCCACAGCGACTGTGCCATAAAAGCGCTGGAAAGTACGGTCATTGTCTTCTCAACAAGAAGGGGAAGAGAGGGTGACATCCCCTTCCTTTACCAAATATTATCATCTACCCCTGTAATAATCACCACCATGACCTCCGGATTGTTGAATTTTCCGCTGAAAGCCCGTCTACAAGTGGAAATCGGTGATCCTGGTCTAACGCTTCTGTCCCTAAAGCCATTCGGTAGTCATGAGGCAATGAATGCAGAATTCTGGCACTAGGAGGACTAGGCGGAACTATGAGCCCTGTCCCACCGTGCTATTAAAAATCCACCACACGGACCACCATCTGTCACTGCTGGCTCTCTCACCACTGAAGCCTCCCCAGTCTCTTCAACACTTAGCATAAGTCAGAACTCAGCTGCAGCTAGATTTTTGGTCACTTTCAGGGTGCAGCTTTTTTCTGCCAGCAGTCTGCATTCTCAGTGATGCGTTGCATGCATTAAGGCTATGGGAAGGGCTGTTACCGTACAACTTTTTT